GTTCCTTCTCCTGCACGTCGAGTCGGAGCCCCGGTTACCCGTTAGGTTCTCCGCGACATACATTTATAGATTAGTAACATCTTAACCTTGGGTACCTACAGAGTAATAAGTATTTATACGATTATTGATACAAATCCTTACTAATATTATCACCTCAATCGGAAAGTGAGTTTGTTTGTTTATTTGTTTGTTCCGCTTTCACGCCGTAACTATTAAACCGATTGCTTTGAATTTTTGCAAACGTAAAGTTAGAAGTCTGGATTAAATAATAGGGTACTTTTTATCTCGGAAAAACTTGATATTCTCGAGAGAAAACGAAATTATTGGTATAGATGGCGCTGTGTGTATTGGTATATGTCATATAAGCTACTTTTTATTCTTTTGTGACGCGAGCGAAGCCGCGGGTAAAAGCTAGTTAACAATAATTGCTGTTATCCGTCTTTATAAACTAACTCGTGTTACTTACAGCATTGTAGCCATCAATATGAACTTGAAGCAGGATGTAGTCACTAAACAATTTAGTAAGATGATAATGTTGAAAATATGGGAAACTCAAAAAAATAATTACACTAGCAACAAAGATGGCCGAGTTATGGTAATTAGTGACCTTAGTCTAGATAATATACTCCTTTTTTGAGGGGGGGGGGATCATTTAATTACTTTTCCTGCCTTAAGTGAGGCGACAGGGAGTGTCAGGCTCTTACTGACTGAAACCACACCGTTCCTACTCCTACTTTGAGTTGGTGCCCCGGCCCTTTAGGTTCGCCGCAGCTTCCAACGACCAAACTATGTAACTAGAGAATTGTATAATGAACTTCATTGAAAAAGAGTAACCTATGGAGTTTTTTGCTCGTTCTAACAGTTGCGCACAAACAAACATACATACTGAAGGACTAAACTGAGAACCTACTTTTATTTTGAAGTCGGTTTATAAAATCTGTGATCGATGCATTACATGACAATCTATGTTCACAAGAGGCAAAAAAAAACGTCTAATATTATACGTTAAGGTGCACCCTCACCGGGAGCATTCACGTGTAATGTAACATTATACGTTCGACTTTGAGCATTACATTACAATAATATCTCCCTGACTAACGAGCATTTGCGTGTAATGCAACATATTGATTCGACTTTGAGCATTTCATAGCAAGATGTCTGCATCTTGCTATGAAATGCTCAAAGTCGTCTGAACGAAGCGGGCGGGCGGGGGGTTGGGGGAAGTGGAGCGCATTGGTGTTACAAGTTGTATCAAAATACTACTTCCGCGCGGTTTCACTCGCTCTGCTCGGCGCCTATTAATCGTAGCGTGATATTTTATAGCCTATAAACTTCCTCGATAAATGGGCTATTCAACACAGAAATAATTCTTCAAATCGGGCCAGTAGTTTCGGAGATTAGCGCGTTCAAACAAACAAAAAAAAAACAAACTCTTCAGCTTTGTAATAGTAGTATAGATTACACATTATATCATTACAAGGTGCGCATTGTAACGCTCGGTTCTCCTCCTTCACTGATGTAATTAATGCTCAGATCTGTAACGTTACATTACACGCGAATGATCCCGGTGAGAGAACACCTTAAAAGTCTTGCATAATTTATAAAATCGCATTAGTTTAATAAAAAATCATGGAAATACTTCATTAAAAATTTTTTTGATTGTTAAAATCGACCTATAATTAAAAAAGATGATAATGATTGTATATACCATAAAATGGTGCTTCAAACTGGTTTCACATCCTAATCGTAAAAAAAGTATTAAATGTGAGAAATCCGTAATCCATAAAACCGGAAAGATAAGTACAAAAACATCTGTTAACAAGGGTTATTGCAAATTAAAACACTATACTCGGAATTTTAATTCGATTCCAGATTTGACAATTTCAGTATTGCAACGTTATGACAAGTACTAAATAGTGACGTTGCGAAATTATTCGATATGGAAATGCAATATTTCTGGTTCGATTCTTCTCGTTTATAATTTTACTCTCGTAAACTAAGTATATCAGGAAATTAAATATTTCTGAGCCGATAATTTAGTTTTGACGATTAGGTAATTAACGATCTGAGACTTTCCTTTTATAATTGTATGTGAAATAAATAAAAAAATGTAATCATGAAGGAACATCACAAATAAAACAGATAAATGTATTATGGTAATAATTTATTTTATAAAATGTCGCTGTCATCGCTATCGCTATCCTGTCACTTTCTGTAACATTTATTATAAAACACACACACTGATTGTTTATCGATTTTTGTGTCACATCACACACTACACTATTATATGTGGTATCATTATTTCACAAAATGACAGTAGCTAATGTCAAATCTGGAATCGAATTAAAATTCTGACTATACATATTACATTAATGAGTTTTGTCCACAATTAGGCAGTAATTTTTTTATTCGAAATTATAATGCGTAATTCTTTTTTAATACCTACATACATGTAAATGCATAGCTGCCCATCTTCATGCAGATGAATATTTTTTTATATATCTACTTAATCGAAAATGTACACTTGGGAGCAGGCTTGAGTAAGATATTCGGTACCGGTACAAAACAAGTATACCGAAATTAAACCTATACCGATATTTAACCTTTATGCGATATCGATACCGCAAAACCTAGGTTTGACCGTTGTGGAACGTAAAGCAAGAGGTGCGGGGAGTGAGTACAAAAATACTTTTACGACCAAATACACTCATTTAAACTGTCAAACACCAAGCGGTCACCGGTGACCGCAACCTATTGTTCTATAATTGTGTCTGCAAAACCGGTACTCGACGAGTTAAACCACTACTACTTTAACTACCAAATTTAATAAAAACTAACTTACCTATATCAGATAATATTTATCAAGAAATGAAATAGAAAAAATGATAGTGACTTCGTTTGTTTACGGATAAAACGGTTCGGGAAAATCTGTAGTCGATACCCATATTAATCGTAAATTACCTAGTAACGTACCATAAAAAAATAATAAGTATAATAATTTACGATGTTATAAAATCAATAGATAGATAACGTTCGATAGTTATTACTTACCATTATTTTAATCACACGCAATTAGCTATTAACACTGATACGCAATTTTATCGAGTAGATGTTAATTACTGAGAAATATATTTAAATATGTTTTCGAAAATTCTTAGTAGCACTGAGAGTATACAATTGTGCGCATTTGACCTAATCCATTAGATTTATAACATACTAGCAGCCCGTCCCGGCTTCGCACGGGGTTGACAATTATTTATTTTTGGAAATTTGGATTGTTGTAGTGACATAACTACAATATTTGGACATATGCTACCGCGGAGTTTTTTGTAGACATTATGATGTTCTTTAATATTGTTGTACATTATTTTGTTCTATCGCTAGTAGTTTCGACAGCGCATTCGACGAAAGACATTTTAAGACTCATTTTTCTACACCTTCGGTTACATTGTTCAAATTTTACCAAGGATCCCTAATTTTTTCAAAATGAAATGTAGCCTTTGTCAAATAGGAAGAATGTAGCATTCTATTGGCGAAAGAATTCTTTAAATCGGCTCAGTACTTTTTGAGCCTGTTCATTACAAACATACAAAAATAGGTACAAATCTTTCCTCTTATAATATTAGTATAGATCTGGTGGTGGTCTTTCTTATACTGTTTTTTTATGGGATAAGCCGGTTAACGAGCAGACGGATCACCTGATGGTAAGCAATCTGCGTCGCGTGCTTTACCGTACGGCATATTTGAGGAATTGTAGGGGATTCGAGCGAAGGGCGTAATTAGGCCTCCGGTAACCTCACTCACACGACGAAACACAACGCAAGTGTTGTCGGTTTTCTGTGAGGCCGTGGTATCACTCCGGTCGAGCCGGCCCATTCATGCCGAAGCATGGCTCTCCCACACTTACGTTTAATGCATTTTGCACCTTACTTAAAGGGTGTTACGTAAAATTATTAACAGTAACAGTCCACTGCACTGTATATAGTACAGCCTCGACTACAAAAGTAGTTTTTGCCATAAACTACAAATAACGGTTAGATATTGCAGTTCAACAGATTAAGTATATCAAAGGCCGCTTCTGCCTATTTTCTTTGAAATACATAATTATTTGGTCGTTTGTCGATGCCTACGGGGACAAAAATTGAGGTATAAAATATGCGTTGCTGCTTTCTTAATATACTTACGTTTACGTTACAAAGAGCAGGTTATTATGTATTCTATTTTGTCATCTTACTGCGATCTCTTAGAACTAAGCTCGTAAGAAAGAGCAAAACAAACATTAGTATTTGGTCATCGACCACTGACAACCGGTTGATTACACAACCAACTTGACATTAGTGCTAGAACCAAATGGATTAGATAATACTATTCCAACTGGAGAATAGAAAAAAGAATGTATTAAAATGACATTGACATTCAAAAAATGTATGTCAAAAGTCGTGAAATAATTTGTAAAATGTCTTAATTATTATTAAGTAATAAACTACACTTAAAAAAGGGGTGAAGTCGGCTTCAATTCCCTCTTTTCTCGAAGTCAGTTGATTATGATATCAAAATCGGTTCAGCTAATCGCGGGATTATATGTACTGAGAACCTCCATCTATATTATTGTAAACGAAGCTCTCGTTCTTCATTTGAACTCGTCGAGTACCGGTTTTGTAGACACAATTATAGAACAATAGGTTGCGGTCACCGGTGACCGCTTGGTGTTTGACAGTTTAATTTGAATTTCCCGCGCATTAGATTCATACGCTATCTGTAGACAGTAAGCCTGTACTACTCTGTGATTGTCTGTGAAAAATTTTGGTGAACACGTTGCACTAATTATTGTTAAAATAATAGAAAAATATTGAAGCAGTAGCTTTTAATATTGTTTCTTTTGTTGTGACTTAACCCCCTCGGGGTTGAAAAGTCGGGGTAAAATTACGCGACTAACAATTTTTGGCTGCTAATTAAGTCATGCAACTAGAAAATAACACAATTTTCGATAATCCTTTCAGGCAGAATGTACTTGGAGAAGACGTTGATATCATGCAAGGGCTCCGTGGAGAAGGCGAAGAAGCAAATAGACCGGCTGTGCACTATGAAGACGCTAAACCCAAAATTTTTCACAAAAACCAACGTGAAAGCGGAATTGCAAAACGTTTTGAGAGTTGCGTAAGTATTTTTTTACCACATTATATTGAAAAAGAGTTATTGGAATAAATTCAATACCTTATAATAAGTACATACCAAATTCAATACTTAAGGCGTGGATAGGTATCGAGTGGGGTGAATAGATACAAGGAAATTCTTCATAGTATCGATTCATCCCTCGTCTGTCCCTTTTCGCCGTTCAAACTCTATTCACCCCATTTTACCGTTACTATTTTAAATTCATAAAACAGATATATTTTTTTTTATTCTAACAATCTTCTTAGGGCCTTTTATCACAGATATGTCAGCCCCATCGTACCCTTTAGATTACTTTACGTACTTAACATTACTTGACTATTATATTTTCCTTAGGTAGGTTCCTACTCTAAAGAATCATTTGATTAATTGTTATTCGTGAAGGACCAAAACCAAATAGCACAACTTTTTCATAATCGCTGAAGATGGTACAGATATAATGCCTACATCAAATTTATTTATTTTAAAATCCTTCACGAATATCTGACGTTCTACTCCGTTCCGAGCACGCTCCACAGTTATAATCTGGTCCTCAGCAACGTTTGATTTTTTATACGATAAATCTTTGTAACATAACATGTCATCACGCATTTTATCCCCGAAGGAGAAGGCAGAGGCACGTTAAGTACTTAATGCCGCTGTACAATTTAACACCCACTTTTCACTATTTATGTTACGAGTCCTATGTAATAGGGGGTAAGCTTATTGCCATATATTTGGCACAATTCCAGGCTCCGTGCTACTATTAAGAATGTTTTAAACCCAGTACTACTTCGCCCGTTCCGGGAATCAACCCGGGACACCTTGCCCGGCAGTCGTACTTGTGACCACTCGGCCAACGAGGCAAAATTGAAATAAATTCAATACTTTTTTAAATAAACAATTACAATTCTATTTTGTTAAGGACAACAAACATAAAACTCGAATAAAGAAGTAAGATAATAGATTAAACAAATAGCGGGATACAGTACAATAATCATCTGCTCAGCAATGTCTTGCAGGCTCGATTATTTTTACACGACAAATCTTTGACCAACAAATTGCAGATACAGGTTTAAGTCCCAAAATCCTGATACATACATTACTTTTTTCCAAGATACCAAACGAGATTAAAGATTGAAATATTCTTCTTCCCGTAGAATTAACAGGAAACTGCGCAACTCAAATGCCTGATGGGAGTTTAACGTGTTAATTAGACATTTGTTTATTAATTTTGGACATTTTCCCCGATTTTCAGATCGCTGATACCTCTGCCTACCCTAACGGATGACTACTACCGAGTGCTGCTGGTTAAAATAAGAAGCTTCGACTTGACTTCTGAAAGTTTCATGTTGTACTTTCAGTATTGTTTAATTGTAAGTATTATTTGAGTACTCATAGGTACTATACCTGTCACGGAGAACCTAACGGGTTACCGGGGCTCCGGCTCGATGTGCAGGAGAAGGAACGGGGTGGTTTTTAGTCAGGAAGAGACCCTCCCGCCTCATCCAGGCGGGAGAAGCCATTAGATTATTTCCCCCCTTAAAAAAATTGGGTACTACACCTCTATACGTTTTTATGAGACACTTAAAAAGAGAAAGATAAAGACAAAGACTATTTATTTGCAAAAACACATGTGAAATAATAATACATCATAGAATGCACATTGTAAGTTGTATAGATGAACAGTGAGCATAGTATCAACATGTTTGACCATTTCTGGTGTACAAATGTGGAATATAATATTTAATGTAATAATAACAGTAATTAAACTTTCAATTGTAACATTCCTATAAGAGACTCAAACCTCCTGACCAGGACAATCATAGAAAAATTACAAACACTTATCATTTGACATTTGTAAGTGTGGGAGAGCCATGCTTCGGCACGAATGGGCCGGCTCGACCGGAGTGATACCACGGCCTCACAGAAAACTGACGTGAAGTAACGCTTGCGTTGTGTTTCGTCGTGTGGGTGAGGTTAACGGAGGCCCAATTACCCTCCCCTTCCCCAATCGCCCCAATCCCTGAATCCTCAACGATCCTCAAACTCCTAATCCCCAAAAAGCCGGTAACGCACTTGTAACGCCTCTGGTGTTGCAGGTGTCCATGGGCGACGCCGATTGCTTACCATCAGGTGATCCGTGTGCTAGTTTACCGGCATATGCCATAAAAAAAAAATACAGTCATGAACATTATTATTAGCATTTATTAACTAGCAGTTTTTTCAACGCTTGTTTCAATAAGTTTAAATTTAATTTTTAATTTCTTTAGGAATTTTCTTATAAACTATGGGAGCCATACATATCACGCTTTTGTGCATTATTGCTGTTTTAGATGGGTACAACAATACCCAATACAAGGTCGATTGTTGTCACGTCGATTTTATATGTCGCAGGTCGTAGGCCACGCTAGCGCGATGCGTCTTGCGTCTGTGATGAGCGGGAAATATAATCATGCTGTTTCAAAGGAGGCTCCTAGTCACATAACGTAGCTACTCCCGTTTAACCTACATTGAATATGAGGTTTTATAAAATTTGCCTAGAGGTAGATTAGACACAATGCCATTAGAGGTTAAATTAATCAATTTTGTTCCTCATTTTCAGCTGTGCGAGTACATCAAGGCTAATGACTACGTGAACGGTTTCATCATAATATACGACTGCCGAGAGCTGAACATGTTTGATGTGGTGTCCAAAATGAGCACTGTGGAGCTGCAGCAGTTTATAACTATTTTGATTGTAAGTCAACAAGAAAGAAAATCAACAAAATCTAAGACTAGAAAGAGATTGAAGACAATCTCTTTCTTCTTCGCATCAGACTTCAACTTCAACGCATTAATTCTAAACGCTTTTCCTATTTACACGATACTCATATTCGCTCACATTATGTCTGAGCAACCGCAACAGAATCATGCCTCCTCCGTCATCAGAAGAGGCGGGATGATTGTTGCCGCCTTCGACATCTCTTTCTCTTTCACACAATTTTATTCTTCAATAAAATCATTTTCGAACGAGCGTAGTGCTTGTCACTAATGATATGGAGAAGAATGAGCTAGAAGACATTATTTCCTTCTTTTGTACACAGGGCTACATAACACATCGAGCTTGACATAACCAGTATAAACTGAACGTTAAATGTGCGGAAAGATGATGCGACGCGACACCAGGATAAACTGGTTTTATATAGATTGATGTGTGGCTGTGTGTACAACTTCTATATTGAGACATAGAAGCTATAACTGTGAGAGAACTATTCTTTGCCACAAATAGGCCTTCACGACCGGAGGGCTAACCACAGCCTCACAGAAAACCGACGTGAAATAACTCTTGCGATGTATTTCGTTGCCCGAATGAGGTTACTGTAAGCAATTGCAAGTCTAATCCCCGAATCCTAATCAATACTCAAATTCCTAATCCCCAAAAGGCCGGTAACGCACTTGTTACACCTCTGGTGTTTTGGGTGTCCATGCAGCGCCGATTGCTTACCATCAAGTGATGCATCTGCTCATTTACCGGCTTATTCGATAAAAAAACAACGGTCGCTTTTTCTCTTAGTTCTATCATAATATAACATCACGCCTTTTATAGTAGGCAGAGGTGCACACCTCTGCCTACCCTTTCGTATAATTGTGCAATTACGGCACCCACTTTTAACTATTTATGATATGAGTCCCATGTAATAGGGGGTGAGCCTATTGCCATGTACCGGGCACAGTTCCAGACTTTGTGCTACCACTGAGAAAAATCCAGTAATACTTTTGCCCGACTCGGGAATCGAAGCCGAGACCCCTTGCTACACTTGCGACCACTCGGCCAATGAGGCAGTCTTTAGTTCTATCATCCAATATAATAATCATGAGTATTTCATTTCATAGAACATCTTAAAATCCATCTTCGTTTGATACATGTATTATGTATATATTTACAGGAAGGCTACGGCGCTCGAATGAAGAGTATTCACATGTTGACAAATTCTAAAGCTATAGAACTGATCATAAACACAGTGAAACAGTTTATAAGTGAAAAGGTTGGCAACAGAATGTATGTACAACGTACTTTAGAAGATTTACATAAAGATGTGCCTAAGAATATATTGCCTGTCGAGTATGGTGGCACTGAGAAATCTCTGGACATTATGCAAGGTAAAGGACAATATTTCGATCTCAAAGTTAAGCTCTTCAATTGGGTATTTCAAGTAATAAACACATAGAGGTGTAAGAGGCCCGCTTCTCATGCATGAGAATGCAGGTTCGAAACCTACCAACGGCAAGTATCAATGTGACTTTTTCCGAGTTGTATGTACTTTCTGAGATTATTTAAACAGCTCTGAAAAAGGCTGAAGGAAAATATTGTGAGGAAACCTGGGCTTATCATTTCTAATTATAAGTTTGAAATCGGAAACGCGCATTGAGCAAGCGTGGTGATTAATGCTTAATAAACTTTCTCCGTGTGAGAAGAAGGCTTTGGTCGGCAGTAGCCACTTACGGGCTAGTAATGATGTGTAACATATTTAAGACTAGCTGTTACCCGCGACTTCGTCCGTGTGGAATAGTATCTTTGGGTGTATTTTTGAATCATTAGTAGGTATATTTAAAAAATAAAAATTTATTGTTCTCTTATAAATGTCCAAGAGACACTTACTGGGGCCAGCGTCACGTTGTGTACAAAAATATTTTTAAAAAACCTAATTTAAAACATTTTTATACACAACGTTTGCTGTTTTATTGTTGTTAGATAAAATGTGGAGATTTTTGGGATTTGATACACGTGAGCAGACCACGTAGAGTTGCCCATGCGAAAAACAGTTCTTTTCTAAATTAACACCCGCCACTTTCAGTGTTTGGCCTTGCGCTTTGTTAATGGTCATTGCGATAACAACGAATCACCTATATATTTTTTTATAATAACTATCGTGACAAATACTGAATTAATTAAAAATAAAGGTTACTCACGTAAATATACCGAGAAAGGCTCCGCTAGTTTCGAGTCACAGAGGGACTCTTCCTGATGAGCAATATGCGCCGTCGTGGCGATACATCTCTAATCTCCGAAAGGGTATACCAATAGCACTAGATGGATTTGTAGTTAACCAAGTCTTGGTTTGGTGATTGACCAAACGACTTTTCATGGACTGTTTTTGGAAACTGCGAATGGCCCAATGGAAATAACCCATGGGTGTTTTAGTGGGTAGGTATATTAGTAATCCCGTGTAATTGGGATGAGCAATAACCATTATAGAGCACAATACCAGACTTTGTGGAACTGCGAAATTGTCAACAATAACCCGCCCCCCCCCCCAAATCACCCTGAAATTGATTCCCGTTTTGAAGTCAATAAACCAGACAGTATTAGAAGAATATTTCAGTAGAATACACAAATAAGTTATTTATTTTATGATTTCAGAGGAAATGGTGAAGGAGTTGAGCAAAGAAGAATATGTGGACTACGTAAAAATGATGTTCAACGCTCGCACAGAAGAAGGGAAGAGAAACGCTGGGAAGTTCAACGAAGAATATCTAGGCATGCCTGGATCTTTCAGAGCTTTGAGTGTTGACTAAGTTGATATTTATAGATCTTTGGTCATGTATTTAAAGTTACTAGCTTATTCCTATGGCTTTGCTTGTGTTACTATGTTTAATAGAGAAGTTTTGATCTGTAAAAGCGTAACACATAACAGATCACCACGCTTTTTATCCAAAAAGGGTAGACAGCGGAGCTCGATAATCCATGCTTTCACTGGCTTAGAAAAATTGGAGTCTCACACCAGAAACCCATTGCCTGTTACATTTACAATACATAAGGGCTATTAATATTTCACCGGGACATCATGGCGGCGCAACCAGTCGCCTTTACCAATATGCTCTATAGTGGTTAGTCACCTGGTGTCCGGTTGGTTACGCAACCACCTTATACATTTTATTGGTAACGGTGACTTTCTTTTGTTTATAATTCCTTTGTTTAACATAAAAACATTACAGTCATTTTGTAAGAATCATGGTACAAATGACTATGCAGGCTAAATCACCGATATTAAGTCTTTAAATTATAAATTGGATAATATTATTAAACTTCCGTGAGGCATACTAAATTATCACACTACAAGTCTCACAGTGTTTTCCTTACAATGTAGGTACAGATGACTGTTACACAAGTAATCTAGTACATTAACATAACGCGTCTTTTAAACCAGACGCTCTTTAAAAACAAAACACCGGCAGTAGTGGCGACTGGTTGTGGATTGGACCGCGATGGTGTCACGGTGAAATATACCTACCTCTAAGACTACTTATCTGACGAGAAATTAGTAAAAGTAGAATTATTTACTAACTAAGACTGCCTCGTTGGTCCTGGTCCTGGTCCTGGTCGCAAGTGCGACTGCCGGGCAAGGGGTCTCGGGTTCGATTTCCGGGACAAGAAAAGTATTATTGGGTTTTAAAAAATCTCAGTAGTACCACGGAGTTTGGAAATGTGCCTGGTATCTGGCAATAGGCTCACCCCCTATTACATGGGACTCATAACATAAATAGTGAAAAGTGGGTGTTACAAATAAAAGGCGTGATGTTATGTTATTTACTAACGCAAGCGAAGTCAAGTCTACAGCTTAAGTATTTACCGCTTATTAACTTTTTGGTTTTAGTAATATTAGATGGAAATATTGGGTTTTCTTGACGGATATTTCTTAGTTGTAAGATTAAAATTAAATAAAATATTCGAAAAAATAAACATTTCTTTGTATTACAACTTTCATGAGAACTACTAAATTAATTACTATGGAATATTTTTTTTTATGGAATAGGAGGTAAACGAGCAGACGGATAACCTGATGGTAAGCGATCAACGCCACCCATGGACACTCGCAACACCAGAGGAATCACAGGTCTGTGCGCTGCCGTTTACAAATACGCTCTTTTCGAAGGTTTGAAGGTTTTTCTTTTTATGTCTTTTGGCTTACTTAATAAGACACTGTTTGACGAGGAACTCGGTTAGTTTCAAACCACAATAGAGGCTTATATTCATTAGCATTGCACGAGACACGATACGTTGGATATCACCACCAACAGCACTAGTTCTGAATATCAAATATCCACTGCTGGATATGGACCTGGTCTAAATAGGAGATTTTCACCAATTATGTTACGAGTCCAACGTGATAAGATGTAGGTTAATTGTCATTTGTCATACACAATACACGGGTCGTGGTGGCCTGGAGGTTTGAGACGCCCGCTTTCTATACATCGGGGCGCGGGTGAAACCTAATAGCAAGAACCAATGTGACTTTTCCGCGTGATATGTACATTCTTTCTAAGATTATTCAGACACCACTGACAAACGGTGAAAGAAAACATCGTGAGGAAACATAGGCTTATAATTTCTAAATACTTACAAGTTTGAAATTGCCAACCCGCATTGCGCAAGCGTAGTGATTAATGCTCAAACCTCCGTGTGACAAGAAGCCTTTGGTCAGCAGTGGACAATTACAGGCTGTTGATGTGTGTAGGGCCATACATGGAGCACAATTGGGTAGTTTCCAGGGTATCAAAATTAAAAATCTAATTAGTCCGTCAGTTAGATAATGAAAAAATATTAGACACGTATTTTTTTATTTTCTCGTATTTAGTTGCAATGCTTAAATAAAATGGGGCTAAGTTTAGGAGTGGGAGGTCGTTACGTCACAATGTGCTACAAAATGTGACACGCTGTGACGTCATACAATATTTCAAATTAACTCGTCGAGTACCGGTTTTGTACACAATTATAGAACAATAGGTTGCGGTCACCGGTGACCGCTTGGTGTTTGACAGTTTAATATATCGTCAAAAGTATTTAGTTTTGTGAGAAAAGAAAAAATATGTGTCTAAAGATTTAAATTAATATACCAGACGGACATTAAACTAAACTCCTTGATTTTACTGAGAAATTTTCGAAAAATTGAATACAATCCCAATAGTAATTTGCCCGACATCGATCAACTAAGGCAGTGCCCAGTAAACGTATAAAACTCTGAAGATTTAAGTTCCAGTAGCAGTTGTATAGAGCGCTATGCATTGGACTGTGATATTTGAAGAACGTGCAAGCCAGCGGCTTCGATATTGCTGCAAACGATACCGCCTCACATTGATATCTTTTGCTATATTTTCGAAAATACCACTTTTATTTGGAGTATCGAAATACGTGATGTAGTATTGGAAGTTTATTTCTTAGTATATATCTTTATACAACATTGCTACCATCCGTGCGTCACTGCATGGGTGCCCACTGAAAATCAGTGCTGGGTGACTTGTATGCCTGGCTTACACTGAGTGGGTGACCCTTTTAGCATAGGCATGTTGTCAGCGTCTCTCTTCTAATTCTTCTGTTTTAATTTTTCAACTCAATGTTTTTATTAATTCCACTGTCACCCCTTTATTGTCTTTTTTTATATTTTACTAGCTTTTACCCGCGGCTTCGTTCGCGTCATAAAAGGATAAAAAGTAGCCTATGTGACATATACCAATACACACAGAGCCATCTATACCAATACTTTTGTTTTCCCTCGGGAATATAAAATTTTTCCGGAATAAAAAGTACCCTATTATTTAATCCGGACCTCTAACTTTACGTCTGCAAAAATTCAAAGCAATCGGTTTAGTAGTTACGGCGTGAAAGCGGAACAAACAAACAAATTCACTTTCCGATTTATAATATTAGTAAGGATTTATGCTGCATCGTACTTGGTGCTGAATAAATGTTCTTTCTTTCTTTCTTTCTTAGTATGAGGAAAGCTGCAGACATTTTTGGTGTAAGAAAAAGTGTTTGTGTGATTAATTATTATGCTTACTAATGTAACTGTTGGCCGAGGAATTCGACTATACTCGGAATTTTAATTCGATTCCAGATTTGACAATTTCAGTGTTGCAACGTTATGACAAGTACTAAATAGTGACGTTGCGAAATTATTCGATATGGAAATGCAATATTTCTGGATCGATTCTTCTCGTTTATAATTTTACTCTCGTAAACTAAGTATATCAGGAAATTTAATATTTCTGAACCGATAATTTAGTTTTAACGATTAAACTGTCAAACACCAAGCGGTCACCGGTGACCGCAACCTATTGTTCTATAATTGTGTCTACAAAACCGGTACTCGACGAGTTAATTAACGATCTGAGACTTTTCTTTTATAATTGTGTGTAAAATAAATAAAAAATGTAATCATGAAGAAAAATAAACAAATAAAACAGATATTATGGTAATAAGTTATTTTATAAATTGTCGCCGTCAGCCTATTGTTTATGAATGTTATATTCATTCATCAAATGACGTCAAATCAACTTTGTTATGAAAGATTGAAACCGAAAGCCCCTTCTTCTTATTCATAGGTAAATTAGCTTGATAGGAAAATGAAATAAAGAGTACCTGTAAGATTTGCCCGATTTACGCACTATAGAGAATTGCTCTATAAAAACCAAAGGCGTCATTTAAATGCTCTTAATTCTCATAAATTCAACAATTAAATAATTTTGTCAGTAAGGGGTCATGGGCAATTGCTGTCATGGTCTGAAAGCAATCATGGGTTACAACTTTGATTCCTGGATTCAGTAAAGGGGCTATGCCAAACATTATATTAATGCTTACCTTCTGTCAGCGGTTTCGCCCGCGATCCTGGGGCACAAAGTAGCTTATAATATGGATTGTCAATATACATATGTGAGAACCATGTCAGACTTAAGGATATTTGTTTTCTCTTGGTTTTGTTTTTTATTTTTAGTACGTTCTGTTATTTGTATCATGCGTCAGTCAGGATCACAATATTGGAATATGTATAGCTGAGCAGTGTAAAACAGAATTTTTTAAAAGAGTAACGAATGGAGTTTCTTGCTCGTTCTTCTCTACTCGAATCGACATTTTGGAACGAGCGCCTAGCTTCACTGACGGACAGACTGACAGACTACTATTTATTTCATATTTGTTGACGTTTCAAAAGTACCAAAATATGGTTTAATTGAAATAAATGCTTTTGAGTTTGAGTTTGAGTTTATAATCTAACTCTGTTCCAAAATTCATCCTGGTTCCTTCGGTCGTTTTGATGTAATTGAGTATGAAACGTACACAAAGCACCGCTAATTAGTTCGAGGCGCTACACATCGACATTACTATCATTTACACATTGTACATGTGTGGGTAATTTCATATTAATAGATATGTATAGAAACATTCGTTCTATCACACACATCTTGGTATTACATATCATTTTTGTGTCGGTATACGTAATATTTTAGTAAATAAGTTTAAATAAAAACGAGGGTAAAGATAAAAATACTCATAACAAACTTTGAATAAATCGAAATCAAAAATAATGAACGATCGAGCAATACAATACTTATATAAATATAGTGCATTCTCATTGTATTTTTATGTTACTGAATGATATACAATATTTCGATGTTCTCATCTACGGCGCGCTTGGCGCAATGGTTATCGCCTCCAGTGGTCAAGTAAAGTGCCACCGGATCGATTCCAGCATTCACATGTTGTTTTAGTATTAATTAATCAAATATTTGAAATGTGAAATTAGAAACAATTAAATCTTTTCTTTTTTTCCTATCCTATTTTTCTAAATCTTATGTTAATTTTAATAGTAAATACTTTAGATTTATTTATACCTATAATATCCTTTATTTATATTTTAGTTCTAGTTATTTATTATTTAGAATAATTTAGAATGATTGGAAGAACTTTAAAGTTAACATGTGGTATATAATTAATTATTAGATATAAATATTGAATATAAAACCACATATTTGTATAATTAATAAATTAATTTTAATAAAAAATAGTATTGTTTTATTTACCGACTGATTTGCTTCTTTTATAGCCTGATATTTATATTATATGACAAAAAACAAAAAAAAAAATAAATAAGAAAAACAACAAGGTAAAATAAAAAAAAACTTTTAGCTGGAATAGAACCCACATCATCATTGATCCTTGAAAGACGATAAAAGCGTACTCATTAACCAATCGACCACGAGCACTACGATAATTACAGTGAAAATGTCGGGTCATATCAATGATTGTAAATAGTTTTAACCTTACCCATGCATTAAATTATAAAAATACGTGTCGGTATACGTAATATTTTAGTAAATAAGTTTAAATAAAAACGAGGGTAAAGATAAAAATACTCATAACAAACTTTGAATAAATCGAAATCAAAAATAATGAACGATCGAGCAATACAATACTTATATAAATATAGTGCATTCTCATTGTATTTTTATGTTACTGAATGATATACAATATTTCGATGTTCTCATCTACGGCGCGCTTGGCGCAATGGTTATCGCCTCCAGTGG